CAGCCTGTCTGGAGGTGCCCAGTCTGTTTCCGCCTGCAGGAAAGGACAAGCCAGCCGGGCAGCAGCTGCCCCAGGCACAGAAGCACAGGAGCAGGGGGTAACCCAGTCCGGTGACTTTCTGTAAACACCACTAGAACAAGAAATGTGCATTTCTGAGGCGTTACCTCTGATTCTACCTCTTTAACTCTAACAACATCCTTCCAATTAACTCAAGCATAAACATGCTCAATTAAGTGCTTATCAAGGCGTGCAGGTTTAAGTATGCATACTTTACCGTTTGATCCATAGCTCTTTTCTCGAAGAAAGGCCCCCGCTCTCCTTTGTGAATAGGGCATGTTCTTATGCTTGTCGCAGGGAAACGAGGTTTCCTTGTGCCGCCTTCCTCTTTGCAGAGCCGGGGAGCAACGGCGCATGGTCCCACCACATCGCGGTCCATCTTGGGGGGGGGGGGGGCGGGTATCAAAGCCTGGCCCATCTTCCCTCCCCACACTGGAGATTCAGAGCCTCTTCAGAGAATTGCGGGTCACGTCTGAACCAAGGAACCGGTGTGGCTTGCCGGGTGCCAGGATGGGTGTGTGGGGCGTGTTCCTTTTGGGAAATCTGCCTCTTGGATGTCTCTGCACGAGCCTGGCCAGCGCTCAGGCGGGGAAGGAGGAGCAATGGGCCCAGGAACAGGCTGCCAGCGAGCTTTGCGGGGTGCCAGGAACGCGAGAGGGGCTCCCTGGGGCTTGGCAGCCTGACCTGGGGCACGCGGGCCAGGGAAAGGGAACCCTTGCAGGCTCGGGGGGCCACACGCTTGCCGTTGTGGGACAGGAGGGGCTGTGGCTCCAGAGAGCAGCTTCCCCACTGCAGCCAAGCCTGTGCCCTGGCCCACAGCTGCCTCTCTGGACATCTCCTCGTGGGGCGGGAGACACACGTGCCGTCCGGGGCGAGGGCCAGCCCGTCTTGACCCACACATGCAGCAGACAGCTGGCTCTCCTCTGCAACCGCAGGGGGTTGTCGTGGCTGCTTTCTGCATAGGACTTCTGCCGACTGAGAAAGAAAAAGCTTTGGGGGTTCACGCTCCGTGCAGGACGAAGGCAGCCAAGCTCAGGGAAAGGGCTGGGAGTGGCAGGAAGGCCCCCAGAGTCAACCTGGAATTCAGGGGAGTAGCAACACGTTGCCGGGCGAAACGCGGAATCCCCTTCCTTGTTAACCATGCAATTTTCGGGGGTGCGGTTGCTGGTGTTGTGAACCAGGCACCATGTAAGAGGAAGCTGAGAAAGCGTTCCCTGCTGCTGGCGGCTTGCAAAGCAAGGGGGAGAGGGTTGCGACTGACGTCCCACCGAATTCCGTCAGCCCAGGAAAAGCATCAAGGCCCTTGCTGTCCACTGGAAGTGCCCCATCTGCGCTCCAGAGGTGCTTGAAAGTGGGGAGCTCCCAGGCGAGTCCACGTGCACCAGCCAAGTCGTCTGGGCAGGCCCCGCTGCTCTCGGCTGGCCCCGGGACGGGCCCAGGATGTGTGACCAGAAGCGCCCCTGCCCAGCTCCGACTGGCGCTTTCCTGGAGAAACAGCCTGGCCCCAGTGCCCCACGGCCCCTGTGGGGCTGGCCTGGGAGGGCTGGAAGCTGGAGCTAGGGCAAGCGCAGGAGCCAGGCTGGTGCTGGTGTGTGCAACCTGGACCCGATTCCTTCAGTCGTGTGTCAAGAACACTGGTGCCAGCTGGCTCTCGATTTGGTTCTCGACACTCGCTTCAAGCGTTGGCTCTTACCTGTCAAGCTCTCAGTGCTTTGGGGAGTGTCAGAATCCCGGAATCTCAGTTTGTGAGGAGGGAATAAAACTCTGGTTCATGGGAAAGATCAATCGTTATGAACATCCGTGGCTTTATTGTTTGGCCCAGGTTCCCGCGGTAGACTCACGATAAGGCGTTACCGGGCAGGCAGAGGTGAACTTGCTGCCAAGTTTTAATACAATTACATGGTATTTTATACCCTCTTGGTCACGTACACAGGTACAGAGCAATTAAGGACAGAATACAGGTATTACAATAAAGTTCTGCGGTCAGCATATGCAGAAAAGATAAAGGAATGTCAGTCAATCATACAGAAAAATAAGATTACACTATCTCAAAAGGCAATTTTGACGTATCGGTGGAGTAACTTCCAGAGGCGTAGATCCATCACCGGGTCTACTTAGACATGTAAATTTGGGCTATCGTAAGGTCTTGTATTACATTCAGAAAGTCTGAGTCCCTGAGTAAAGGATGACAAATAGCTGCTTCCTGACAAGCTGTAAATTCCAAAAGAGATCAGATAACAACAATGTGAATGAATTTGACTGAATGAAGACCCCAAATTCTTCCTGTCTGCTCTTGGCCCATAGCCAGGGAGAGGGAAGGAAATATCCATAGTTTCAGCTGACATTTCAAATGGATTCCTGAGTTGCACTATGCTTATCTTCCAAAACCCCCCTTATCTCCTGAGGTTTGAATAGGATTTATTCGGCCCTCTTTTCCAACAGGAGCCAGCACAGACAGCCAGACGGGAGCAGCGAGGGAAGACCCTGCCCCAAAACCTGCAGCCCCTGCTGCTGTGGGGCTATGCCGCTCATTATCTGGGAACCAGGGAGGAGGCAGAGGCCAGGCGAGGCGAGGGCCTTGGCCAGGGGTCGGCAACCTTTTACGCTCAAAGAGCCATTTGGACCCGTTTCCCACAGAAAAGTC